CTTCATCATTACATGCAAGCTTACACTAAAGACAAATTGGTCATAATAGTCTCACCCTTCAAATTCTTATTTCTGGCCAGAAGACAGATGAGAAGAGGTAGGAGCTGAGGCTTCCACCCTGGCACACAGGCTGCTCAGCTGTGTCGGGACCCAGGTCTCTGCTCAGTGTCTCCATCAAACGCAACAGAAGGATTTTGGCCTGAAATCTCCGCAACACAGAGTGGGCGAGCAAATAGCAGCTTCTGTAAACTGCAAATCTTTTGTGGGATGGCTAGTAAACTCACTGTGACACTGAAATAAATCCATAAAGGCTAGGAATTCACTTTATAGAACACAGAAAATAAGAATAGACTCTCTAATCATCTCTTTTCAGCTCTAAGATCTATCAAGCTAAAACACAATTATCAATTCAGGATTAGGTTTAGTGAATACTTTTTAAGCCACACACATATTCACACATGCCTCAGCACTTCTTCTCCCCTCTTGGAAAAGAAACACAGAACATATAGAGGTTACATTTTACTGCAACTGTAAATTCAGCAAAATGCTGCTCCTTCTCTTTTATACTGTTCTCTGGGCTGTTTGACATGTAACATTTGTGTGGCTGGTTTATGCTACTCCTGCTACAAAAATTTTATTTCTGTTATTTTAAATCCAGTGCATTAGGCTTAGCATTAAAACATTGGTACTTTTGGACAGAAATATTAAATATGATTTTGTTATTCATTTTCAGAAATAAAAAAAAGAATAATGATGGGGTTTATTAATTTTATATATATGGGTTGGCATGTTAAGAAGCCATACATTTTTTCACTTACTGTTATTTTCTTTTATTGCAATATTTACAGCATTATACTAAAGAGAGAAGAAAACACATGATTTATATGCAATTCAATATTTGTCTTCATAATATTTTTGTTACTGACATGGTCATTATACTTACTTTGAGGACCCAGATAAATATTAAAACAGTGCCATTAGCTTTTGTGACACTGTCGTATATTACCAGAGTAGTGAAGTAAGGCCCAAGATATTACTTTCATACATGAAATCAACACATTTTACCAAATTAAACTAGTATAACCAAAACTGCTAAGTATTTTCCACACAAGCTGCATGGATGGAAACCCACTGAAAGAATCAGACTTCTTTTACAAAAGGGTGGGGTCCTCTCACAGTGGGAATATGAGGAGGTATTTAAGCTAAACACAACGGTATATACAATTTACAACGATACACGCAGTTTTAATGCTAGATATTAATCAGTATATAAAGCTAAGAAAATATGCCTCAATAGAGTTGAAAAGGCTTACAGAATAAAGAAGAATTTAACTGTTATAACACAAACATGCCCAGGACACTGGAAAGTAATACAGATAGTCTTAAAAAAAGAAGTATTCTAAAATCTTACAACAATAGCTGTGTACTGGTCTCGGTTATATACCTCAGAAGGGCAGGGACAGTGTCAATATAGACTTTGCCATCAGGCTCGCATCTCTCTCTTCTCCCAGTTCCTCACCCTATTTTCCTACCTCAAAAAAGTCCTACCAGAACCTCAAATGTAAACGGACCACACCACAATGCAGAAATTAATCAAGCCATCTTGTCCCTTTACAGAGAATGTATCCACACTTTTAGCAGGTGAGAGAATATGACTGAGAAGATCAAATAGGATTTACTGAGTTAAACAGAAAATTATAATCTTAAGAAATGCTTTAGCAAATTTCTAGGTCAAAACATGAGAGAGGTCAGACTGTAATTTAAAAAAAAAAAAACAAACGACAAAACAAACACCAAACTCTTTTAAATATTAACTAGATCTCCATTATAAGTTGCCGTGGATATTTATTTATTTATTTTTTATAGCTGAATCGATTTGTGTTGTCAGCATAATGCCTCTGAAGTTAATGTAGATCAAGTGGTGAGATACTAGAAGAAAAGTACCCTACTATACATTGTAGCCCAACCAAAGGTTTCTGCATGTGGAGAGAACTCAAATCAGAGGGTACTTGCACAGTCCAGGTAGTTACTATGTACTAGACACCTGTGCCTAGTACCCACACCCTGAATAAGGCAGATTTAAGCAGAGTAGAAGCAGGGGATTCAAGTTTCAAAGGTGGCAGAAATCCAGTGGCTCTTACTGGGAGTGAGGAAGGCTTGGGGCTCCCACTGAAGCGCTGGGTTAGAGATCGGGCAGATTCTCCGCAACACATGTGCAGTGGGCTCCTGCGTCCTCCTCTGGCCATCCTTCTGAGAACTTGTACGTTGGGCTGACATACCAGACTACTTCTATCTAATAAAATTAGGCACATTTTCATCATCATTATGTATGTTTTCTATTATTTTCACTGCCGCTTTGCACAGGACACCGGTTTGGTTTTTGTTTTGGTTGGGTTTGGTGTGTTTGTTTTTTCTACTAAGTGTTTCAATTTCACATCTAATATTTTTGGAACAGAAGCCCAATGACAACAACTTTGGCTTTTTTTATTCCATAAATAAGCCTTCAGAAAAATCAACATATTACAGCGTATTTTCTAGTGCCCTGTACTATTTAAATCTCCTGAGAGCACTTGAGTAACGCGAACACATTTTCCAGTGACGCCAGCTGCAACTGAGAGAGCCTGCCCTTGGGAGCTGTGAGCCCTGCAATTGTCCACAGCTGTCAACGCACAGCATGATGTCACTAAATGGGGCCTCCGACGTGTTGGGGTTTCAGTTATGTCATATTAGGTGATGACAGGCATTCTGAGGTTGATTAGCATCTTACGGTCCCTTCTCACATTTGGACACAACTAAATTTGTTTTGATCTTTTAATGGCTTGTTTAAGAATTATTTTCATACTTGGAAATGCTAGTTAAGGAGCAGCCAATATGACGCTGCAAAGGCTTTGATCCTGAACCTACCCATTTTGGTGCCGTGGACTATAAATTCTAAGAGCTGGATCCCATTTTCTAACAGTTATCTGGGAAGGCCGCACTGGGCAAAATTCTGGATGTGGAAAACCAGCTTGCTTTAATGTTTAAGAACAACGCTCAGTTTCTTCACGTTTCCCGTCCTTGAAGACAAACACCATTACACTGATCAAGATAAAATTTCCCATATTAATATATTGAGAAATTTTTGCGTTTTACAACACTGCAGCACCTTGTCTGAGAGGAATGCTGTCTCTGCATTACTCCTTAAATGGAAGATGCCAGTAGAATATGAATTGAAGAGAAAGCTTTAAATATCCATTAAAAACACTGAAAAAGCACATTAAAAAACATGAAGACCTAATTTCCTTCCAAAAATAATGGACATGTTCCATCTAGTGTAGAGAAGGGGTCTAATTGTTGGTATTTTCTCATGTAAGTTCAGACTTCAGAGACTTTTTGATACACCATATATTTCTTTCAGCTGTTGTTTGCAACCGTTTTTTCCATGTTTGTTTTCCACTACTGATTTTGTGTTCCTGATATTTTTCAGATGTTTAAAGGATTTCAAAAGCTCAAGGATGTCCAGTATGTCTATACCCCTCTTGATTCGTCACTCTGTGGAGTAAAACTAGAAGCTAACAACAAAAAACAGTATCTTTTGACAGGTAAAATGTAACAAAACTGATGTACCTATAAAACCAGAAGTAACTGCTTAGATTGACTTTGCAAAAATACACCAGCCCTTGTTAAAGAATAATATATTTATGTACTAAATAATACAAACACAATGAAATGTACAAATTGTGTAAAGCTGCAGTTATACTGTGATCTTACGTGTTTTCCATCCTTCATCCAACAATCCTAAAGCAGTTTCAAAGGAAGTCCACGTCAGTAACGATGTAATTAGTAAACAAGAAGTATGCTATTATTATTGGTTTAAAACCAACAGTACTGATTTTCCCAGGAATGCAAACATACTCAATGAGACAACACATGCCTACGTGTATGTGGATTTGGGGTTCTAAGCAATTTCAGATTTTTCTCTGGAGTTCTGAAATCTAGTTTAATGTACTACTGCATTTGCATCGATCCCTTGCTGGCTTATCAGCATCTTTTGAAAAATATCCTTCTTAAATCTTTTACATTTATTCAGCATGCAACCAGCAGAACAGTTCTCTCAGTTATAATTACATTAATTGAAAAAGTGTGAAATATGACTAATTTCATGCAATTAGTTAAAAACTTCAGGTATTCTTGCAATTTATTTCAGTATTTAGAAAACAGTTTTACTTGCTTGCCTTATTTTTCTTATTTTCCATGCTGTAGGCCAAATTTTAAGTGATGGTAAAGTCCTCATCCATTTATGCAACTACATTGAACCATGGGATGATTTATCCTTGTCTCAAAAGAGGAGTCTTAACCAGAGATATCAAATGGGCTGTGGCTGCAAAGTAAGTACAGAACAAAACACTGGCTAATGGCGGAGCCCACCTTACAGGCACTAGCAGTTTTCACTGGTGGGAACTGTTCTCTTATACACCACATATTTTATATTATTTCAGAATAAATAGCATTTTAAAGAAACCTGCCATATACTGAATTAATGTACTATTTCACATTTAGATTACTTCCTGCTACACGGTGCCCTGTTCAGTCACTACACCAAATGAGTGCCTCTGGACAGACTGGCTGATAGAAAGAAAGCTATATGGGCAGCAAGCCAAGCACTATGCCTGTATCAAGAGAAGTGATGGCACTTGCAGCTGGTACCGAGGTGATCCTCCCTCAGAGAAAGACTTTATTGATATCAGCGAACCTTAAAATGATCACTTCCTACAAAGCCTTGGAGTCTAATTCCACCACACACTGCACGCTCACAGCTTTGAACTGCCATTGTCTAATGTATCTGTTGCTTAGAAACAAAAACATACTGTCCTGTACCGCTAAAGTACCAGTCTATGGAACTGGCACTCATGCAAGATGAGGAACAAATCTCCTGGAGGTAGCTACTCTGTAAAGTTATGCTTTGTACAGAGAGGCTCAAGCTGAGAATGCTCCTCCGTGTCCTCTAAGGCGTAACAAGTTTCCCTTTTACCAATATGAATGTATAAGAACAAATGAATTGCCAGAATTTTGTCCCCTATTTCTGTTAACCTACAGATTAAGAGAGTCCCATGTTTTACTCCAAATCTTTCTGAACAACTATGGAATGTTTTATAGAACTATTTTTTTCTGTATGAAAGTCTTCTGATACAAAAGAATTATTGTACAGTGTATATGTAAAGTATTATAACAATGTACTATTAAAAAAGATTCAAAAAGCCCTGTATTTCCCTATCTGTTGAAACGAGTTGAACACTTCTGTGATTAAAACAATCTGTGCTCCCTATTTTGTTTGTTACTCGTCATAGCTTTCGTTATGTTACAGAGTTGTAACTTTCACTGATAACGGAGTTAAAAACCAGCCTTGATAATCAAAATCCTCTGACCTAATTAAATATTCCTATGGACTAGCTATACCTTGTTGAAAGAAAAGCCAGATGTTCTAACGCTTCAGCATTTTACAGAATCAACACCAATAATGACAGGCTAAAACTGCTTGTATTTACAGAAACCATGTCCATCATCATAGCAGCTGTAGTATTTGCCTCTCTAAATGTGTGACTACGTCATTGTATTTCAGTACATTGGCTTTAGAAACTCATGCAAAAATATATGCAAGAGATATTGATTAACTTACACTGCAGGTGATTTCTATAAAGCTCTCAAATATTTGACCATATTTAATCATTTAAATTTACATTAATGATTTTTCATTCATGAATACCCATCGTACTCTGTCATAATGAATTTGGTAACTCATTAACTTATACTAGAGAAGCGTTATGATGTATTTTGCCTTTTAGTTTTTAGTGTCTTAACTTTTATGAATTTATTACTGTAGTTAGTAACTAATCTCACACATATTTAAGTTTACAAAAATAATTCAGTTCACAGTGGTAAAACTTAAGAAATTTTTTCAGTAAATGCCAAAGTTTAGACAGTTGTCCAACTGCTCGTGTTCTATAAACTGGATGAGAACCATCACACAGGATATGAATCTGTAATAGCAGCCATTTCTGACATATTTTACTCTCTCCAGTTTTCTCCACTGGGTTTCATTCACTTCATTCCAATTTTGGCTAGAAATGACTCTCATGTATTCCTCATATGAGAATTTAGAACAACAGGCAGAGTTTTAGATAGTTCTATTCTCATTTGGTTAGATTAGGTCTATTTAAAGGTTTAACACAAACACTTTTTTTTGCTGACTATAGTGTGACATTTCCAGCCTATGGGCTCATTAAGAATCAGAGCTGTTACTCTCTACTGGGTCAAGGGTCAGTTTTCCAAATAGTTCCTTTAGTCTGTTTGCTATAGAGTCTTTATGAAATCATTGGGACTTAAACTTGGAAAGATATGCACACCTTTAAGTGTATAGGCATCTCCAATTCCATTCAATTCAATGAAGTAGTAGTTTGGACATAAAATTCAGCATGTCCCATGTATCTTGTCAGACAGCAATATGTTGTATTGGATATATCACATATACTTGAAAAAACCCCAAAACAACCCAACTGTATATTGTGACATATTCTGTTCATGCTTCTAATGTGTTTTTTGACAATTGCATGAATCCATATTTAAAGGATAGGTTTGAAAACACTCTTGTGAGAATAAATATTCTTATTTACTTTTTTTGTGGCTCAAGTTACACAATTTCAATGAAGTGCAAATGGTGCAAGGTCAACAGGAAGGCACACCATTATTCCTTTGAGGAATACAAGTCCCTTAATAGTTAATGTTTCACTTTTTAGTTACCGTAAATCAGTTTTGCTGTTCTAATTTACAATCCTAAATTAAAACACCATTTATTTGTGCTGCCAAATGTAAAGCCCTAGCTTGTCTTTAGCAAAGCAGAACAAAACCCCAAAACTACCTAACACTAATTTGGACCGTAGACTTATAATGGCTGCTTGCATAAGTGAAATAAAAAGGCTACATTGCTTCCAAAAAGGAATCGATATTGCAGAGACAATATTGACAGTGCTATTTACTGTCAGTGCTGTGCATTTATATTACCGATTTACAGATAGACTTAAAAAACAGGCCTTATTTCCTCATGTCAAACCAAAACAGTTCCTAGACAAGCCTGCAAGAGCTTAATAACCATACAAAGTCTGAATCAAGCACATGGCTAATTACCATTCAATACATGTACAGTGTAGCATTTGTTTCCAAATCCATTTTGACGTAATGGTGTCTTTTGAATAGCACTCTGCAGCAAACAGATATTTTCTGGTTTTGAACTCAACATAGTTCTATTTCAGTTTTATAGTAATTAGACCTTAAACTCAACTAACCCAACTCAGATTGCTTTCTTTATGTACCTTGTAAAAATGTTTTCTTTGATATTTATGAACAAACTGTAATATGAATTGTATACCATAATTAGTTTTAAAAACATTTTATATTTGACCTGCCATAAAATATCCCATGTGAGGTGTTTCAAAATTAATGGCCATCCACTTTGATTTCTGTCTGAGCATAAATCCGGCCAAACTTCCCACAATGGATGGTATGAAGATTTTTTTTTTCCCCTCATATCAATAAATATGGCAAGAAAAGCTTTACAAAAGACCCTCTCAGAATGAGGTTTTATTCTCCCTGAGATTCAGCACTGATAAAGATTATGAAAAGGATTAACTACAATACAACATTCCGAGTACGTTATTTTTCCTATCAAGATTTTTACTGTAGTGGCATTGATATATTATCAACAGCAGATTATTTTTACATTTTATTTTTACTTCTTGAAACTGTGTATGTGTTATATGAAAGATTAGAGCAGAAATATAGCCTAGTACAACATTTGATTTTAATTTGAAAATGACTCACATGACTTATGATAAGAGTAGGAAAAAGAACAGAGAAGGGAGACTGTACAGGTGAACAGCGGAAAAAACAACACCTTGAATATTGCTGGCTTTTTCTCAATGTTCCAGTCGAGTTTTAATTAAATTGACCAACAATTATGTTGCAAAAGCCTTCTTTTTTTTTCATGACAGAGAACATAAGAGGTGGGAATGTAGTGAAATAAAGGGAACTAATTACTGGGGAAAGGCTGTAGATATGACTCAACTAGCAATGAGTTCAAAAAGCCGTACAGCATTTTCTATAGTTTTAATCAGTCTGAGATCAATGTTTCTGTTTCAAAAAGTGTTTCATTAAAGCAGCTCCATTTTTACACAAAAGAATGGCATCTTTGTTTATTTACCTTTTATTGCCGTCTAAAGAGTCGGTACAAATGATCACCATAGTATGAAAGAAGCCAAAGAAACAGAAGCACAACTGTACCTCTGGCACGCTCAGCTGAAAACTCAATTCACAGAGATTTGGAGTTTTCCCCTGCTCCTCCCCCCACCCCAACTGGTTTGCACTGGAAGGGAGGGAGAGAGCTGTAAGTTACGATTTGGAGGATAAGAAGGGAAGAAGCAAACACAAGAGGAACTACAAAAAAATATTTTGAACTATAAATACCAAATTCTGTAAAAGTAAATGCAAATGAGGCCAGCTATTAATAAACAGTGTTTAAAAACCAACAAAATTTAAATAGCATGATATGATTCCTCAACTAGGAGACTCTGATATCCAGATCATCTTACAACCCATTCTAGAAATTTGAATAAAATTTTATCTTCTACCATGTTGCCTGATTATTTTTCAAGCCACAAAGTTCCAAGTAATTTCTTCAGAAGCAAAAAACAAACAAATATGCTTCATCACAATCAGTTATTACAGCACCTCTAAACTACATATGGCAATGCAATATCAAAATGCATTAATTTTCTCTTGGTTAACATTCATTACATAAAAATGTGTAAAAAAATTACTCAGCTGTGGAGAATATTAACATTGAAAAGCTCAACCTAAAGACAAATAATTTACCAGTTCAGACATTAATAAGCAATGTAGAGGAACAAAGAGGGGGGAAGAACCACTCAAATAGTTATACTCCTAAGCAAAATATGCGTTATAAACACACACACACATTTTCTTGCTTGTGTTCTATTACAAATTTGAATTCAATCAGTTGTTGAAGACGCAGGTTGCAATTGAACTGGTAGACCTTCTACAGGGTCGTGCTATGTAACAATATAAAGCTAACACATTAATTCTTGTCCCAAAATTATAGGCTATTTTCTTTGTTTCTACGTACTGCAATTTAGCAATGCATTAAAAAGGCCTGCTTTTTCAATAAAATCAGAATAACAGAATATCTCAAGTTGGAAGGGACTCATAAGGATCATTGGGTCCAAGTCCCTGCTCCTTGCAGGACTACCTAAAACTAAACCATATGACTAAGAGTATCGTCCAGATGCTCCTTGAACTCTAACAGGCTTGGTGCCATGATCACTTCCCTGGGGAGACTGGATAATAGCTGATAAAATAATGAAGAAGCAACAATAAATTGCACACAGGAAATGATAAACCAGCTTTAATCTTGGATATTCTCAGGAAAAGAGGGAGACATAAAACTTGTTACCATTTAAAAAAACATCTTGCAAAATATGAGATGTGGTTCTCCTTCTCCACCTGTTATGAACGAATCTCTAAGGCATAAACCACTTCCTTTGCAAAAAAAAAAATAATAATTTATAAAGTTGTGTATTTTCCTGACAAATCCATCAACAAAAAACCCCTTCCATTCTGAAAAGCTTTGACTGTCTGGGACAACATCTAGATCTGCTGCTCCAGATCAATACCATTCTCCTTTGGCTCTACAAAGCTTCTGTGTAGCAAATTTACTAAATACATAAGTGTGGTGAAAGCTCTTTTCAGAAGTGTCATATGTGACAAGAGAAGTGGAAACATCTATGAGTTAATACTGCAAAGAAACCAGAGACAACTAGTAAAGCAGTATGAAGAGCCATCCTGCCAATCTTGCAATACATCAAAAAATATGGCAGAACTGCACCATACTGTGTTTATTACCAAATGATGAGAGAAACGTGGGAGAAAGAAGACTTCAGAAGAAATCTTAGTCAACTGCTGTCACTGAGGCTTATCTTAGATGACACCTATGATAACGAAGTGCTAGCCAGAGACTGAAGGCACACACACAGCAATTACAGCTTGGGGACCTTAAACATGTTTATCACGACCTTCCAATTGTACTTGAATCACAGCTGTGTGACGTGCTGAATGGATTATATTCTAAAAATAATTGATGCTTTTCTGCTAGTCTATTCAATCAGCAAATAGCCTCCCTCCAGTTTCTCTCAGCGCTGAAAGTACTTCCCTCTAGAAAAATATACTCAGGAAAGAAATATACTCTAGAAAAATATACTCAGTAAGGAAAAAGGGTCTGCATCGTAAGACAGGTCATGACTAAAGTGTTATTTTTATGAATGCATTTATGTCTGTAAAGAACTGGGAATCGATGTCAGTTCAGGTACATGAAGGTCACAAGTCATAACCACCCTGATTTTAGATGAGTTCAAAGTTCTACACTGACAGGCACATAGCCTTGTGCATCATCTACAAAGATAATAAACACTTCAAACATATCATAAAGGACTAGGTTGAAAATAAACCATAAAAGTAACTCTTGCACTTTAATAGCTGTTCAGTGTCTTTATAAGCATTTAATCTTTCTAAGATCTGAAGTTGGTTAGCTGAAAAATTACTACCTTCACATCTGAAAATCTTCCAGTTAACCATCATAATGCTTTTAAGTGGTCACCCAGTCTCATCGCTCTGAAAGCTTCCAAAATGGCTTTTAAAACAGACAGTAAATGGGGGAAATGAATTGTGTGTTTACAGTTCCTGTTTTACAGAGACAGTAAGCAAATTTAGTATTGGTATTTGCACGTACCATTTCCTTGTGATTTGGATAGAACGTTTGCTCAATTAAAGGGAACTTCTCCGGACCCAAAGTTTTGTAGACAGATACCAGCTGGGCAAACTGTAAAATAAAGTAAAACAAAACAAAAAGCTTAGAAGAGAAACCATGTTCTACCAAAATGATCTCATACTGTCATTTTGCTTCTAGTCTTCTGTGTTTCATAAACTCAGCAAATACACATACACATTATACAATTTCTCTCTCCTCCTCTCTCACACGTGCATCTTTTTAGTCCATCCAAGTTATGACTTCAAATACAGATCAACAAAGAACAATACCTCTAAGAGTTAAGCCTTCACACATACAGAAAATGAAATGCATTGGAACGCTGGTTTTCAGATACCTCATTTTCTGTATATTTTTAAGGTGATTTTATGATAATAAAATTTTATGATAATAAAATCATCATAATTTTGCATTTTCTACCATCTTTAATCTAAAGATCAGACATACTTCACATTAATTTAGCCTCTGGCACCTCAGTGACATTGAAATGTTATTTTGCAAAACAGGCAAACAAAGAAAAGCAGTAACTCTGTCATATGTAACAAGTCAGGTGAAAAACAAACAAGAAAGTTTTAATTTCCTAGGCTCTAGCCACGTACCATAGCCACATGGCCATTCTTCCACAATGAACAAAGATGTTGATAACTGAAATAGCTACATGTTTTTGCCATTTCTATTAATGTTTTCTTTCTGAGTCCTCTCTCCAACATATCCATCTACCTATATGCTGGACTGTAATAACCTAACACAGAAAGCAAAACAACATTTAAACACAAAAAGACAAAAGAATTCTTCATTAAAGAGAAATGTATTTCAGGCCTGTTCTTTCTCTTTAGTGAACAGATCAACTCTTCTGTTGTAACAGTTCAAAACCTAAATCACTTTTGAAATCACAGCTTAGCAAATGAGGTTTCTAGGGAGCAAGACGACTTTGGCAGTCAGAAGACCACTATTGTTTCAAGACTCCAAAGCTCTGGCTTACACATGCCTGTGATGTGTTTAATTGTCATTATGCCAACATGAGACATAAACAACTTAGCACAACAGTTTGAATAGTGGGATTTGCTGGTTACAAACAGGGGAAAAAGCAAAGAACAACAGAACTCTGTCCATAACGCAGTTAGATAAAATACCTACTCTGTTAATGCAATTTATGGTACAGTGATAGTAAAAACTTTTGAAAAGGAAAAAAAAATTATGAAAGCTTTGTGTCACATTTCCAGCTGGCATAGACAATTTGTTTAATTTAGTGGTGTTTACTTAGGTTTGGTAAAAGACATATTTAAATTTTGAATCCAGTGGAAAATACCTTCATGATGAGTAGTTTTCACCAAAAGCTTAAGAAATTCTAGTTAGATAGTGTGCTGGACAAAACAGACCTCAAGGAAAGCAAATATTGTCACAGCTACCAAAATAAGGTGCTTTGTGAATAGGTTTCATGACAACTTACTATTTATTTCTGTTCTTATCCAAGATCCAAATTCAAAATTTCGTAAGCAAATACTGCCTATTAAATACACGATTTTTGCCAAACAATTGTTATGTTAAAATAAATCTATTTACCTATCTTTAAGTAAAAACTTTTTAAAAAAAATGATATTATTGTATTTCCTGTGATTCATTCCTTATTTTCTTTTCCATTTTCACTGAAAGCAAGCAAAAGATAGTGAGAATCTGGCATTATTTATAAGGGTTGTGGCATTCACTGAAGAGGTAAGAAAGCTACAATTCAGATTAATACTAGTAAATGTTCGTTTACTTAAAATAAAATAGTATCAACCACAGATAATACGTATTTATCACTCTAAAGTACCCTCTAATTTAGTAATTAAGCTATGAAATAGCATGTAGGAAAAGCAGGTTTAAATTTCCTGAGGCAGAAGACAGAAATAACTCATATTTCCCACAGCCAAGGGGAATGAATTATCCTTTGCCCCTAGACACTGCTTCACCTGTGTGAATTTTAGGAATCTCTTGTCAAACTTTCCTCCCCCAAAAAAGTAACTTGATAAATTTAACCCAAATTCACATAAAACTCTGGAATTCTAATTGTACATCCTTAAACCACTGTAAATATTCTTATTTTCACTGATTCCTATTGGGCAATTTATGAAAAATAATTTAATTTATGTTTTAATGAACTTTTATCAATTTTCAAGTGTGATCTGGAGTGTACCTTTTTATATTTTCCTTTTGAGCAAACACCAGTTATACAGGCTGAAGCAAAAGACCACTTCTAAAAAACCTGTTGTATCTGGACAGTTTGGAAGCTCTATCTAAACCAAGTTCTAAAGGTCCACTAGAAACTACACTAACAAGTTTGATTTGACATTTTTTAGACTTTATAAAAAAAACCCCACCTGTATTAACGCTTTGCCTTGATTAGAGTTTTGAAAATGTTTTGTTTTACCACACTCGCTAATATGACCTTAAATTATACCTTTAAATCACAGTAAAGTTGATCACATTCTTCCCTGGGCAAGAGCATCATCTTTTTAGATAGTAAACTACTGAATTATTATCTAATTTAATGCTGAATGTTTTCAGATATGGGATGTTCATGAAATAGAGGATACTGGTAGAGCCATTCTATATTTAAATAAAGTATTTTATATGGATGCCAAAAACCCTGGGAGATTTTAACTACTACATAAAAAAAGAAACTCATAGAGCTTAGTATTTCAGTAGGAGTCTTTTCAACATAAGAAAAGGCAAGAAAGTGGAAAAAAGTTACTTCGTTTTTATTTCAGCTAGCTGAATTTAATTCTCATTTTCAAATCTGGCATCTTATTTTCAGCTCATAGAGAGATATTCTCAGGTACATGTATTTATGGTTTTCAGATTATTTTTTACAAAGGAAATAGTGGGATTTTGTAACATTCTTTGTAATGTCAGCTCCTCTCTTTTCTACTAGCATTAATGTTTTCACATCTAGGCCTACAGATTGTTTCTCCATAAAAGAACAGGAGAGCACCAGCTGTACTTTTTCTCCTTTCCAACAAAGTATGATACAGATAAGAAGAAATACTTAGTTAAAAAGACACTTACTCCCTTTGATTTCATATAAAAGCTTTATGCGGTTTCATTACATGAAGAATGGAACACTATAAATTTGACTACATAGACTGTACTGTAATTAAGCAGTGCACAGTTACAAAAAACCACTTTGCTAACTTCATAAAGATTTGAATAATGACTTTGCTTATCACTTCAGATGAGTTAAAATGTACTTAATTACACGCAAGTCATCCCTGAAATGCTCGGATTTTTTCCTGAACAAACTCAGACGCTTTTTCCTCAAAGATATTTAATTTAAATATCAAATGAGATTTAAAATTAATTCCTCCAGATGGTGCTTTGTGTTACCTTTAATTCTAACAAGCTTCTAATCTCTCTTGCCAGACCGAACGATATATATCATTGTCCATTCCAGTGGGGAATTTCCTGGTACGTTGAAAAAGACTTTCATGCAATGAACTACTTCACATTTGCCTCTACAGTTGTTCCCTATTAGGGAAGTACCACTGAGCTGTGTATTCTAAAACCTTTTCTGTCAGAGATTTTCCTTTATTGTGAGTATTCATTACCTGTCCTCTTTACAAGTTAAGGCTTGCTTCTACTGACAGTGGAAGAACTCCAACTGGCCATCTAATATTTCATGGTAACAACTAAAATGATAGCAAAATTCTCTGGATAGTCTGTTTCACCAAATCAGATGAGTTGGCATTCTCTAGGACTAAAGAAACAGGAAAACTTTGATGGGTGAGAACTTTTCAAACCCCTCGTCTTAAAAAAATAGCACTTTTAGCTGAGCTTTAACTTATCTTTGACTGCTCTAAGGTGTAGACACATCTAAAGAGTGAAGAAATTTCATGCAATACCAGTGTACATCTGGATTTCCATATACAAATTTGCCTTTTACCAAATATATGAAATGTTTATTAAAATAAAATTTCTAAGTTTCTAATATGATCTCAATATTCAGTATTGCCACCAGCTTTCTTTAAACATGTATTACATAAAAGCAGATGATGCAAAACAGTTTAAAGATCAGGTTGTTGTGTTGATCAAATGTTTAGACAGAGTAAAAGTTTCATCCTACTGTATAGTTAAATAACTCCTTTGAAAGGCTGAGAATTGATGATAGCCAGCTTTCCATGGAAATGCTGTAGAGGTTCCTAGTATTTCTCTGTGAACTGCACAGTAGAGTAAATTATGCCTGAATGTATACATCATTAGATATGAGCGCAAATGGGGACCTCAGCAGTTGAATTTTCCCTTTCAATACACAAAGGGAAGCTCTTTCCCTACAATAACCTGCAGAGGTCTCTTGTACGGTCTGTAGGTTATGAAGCTGAAAGATGACCTGGTTTATCTTATAGGCTGGTTTATGTTACATTTCTACTATAGAAAACTAATAAAGATGACAACGCATTGACTTTTTTATCCCCTTCACATGGCATAATGAAAAATGTCCCGAAGTCCATTCTTAGGCTGAAATGTCCATTTTCAGTGTGAGGACTGGAAACATGGTATGTCATTCCAGAAAAAAATGATTGCCTTATAAGAGTCAGAGATGTTCAAAAGCACTAAGTACCATTAGAACAAACATATAGCGGGTCCTTGGTGGCCAACAGATTGAGACAAACATTGTAGACCCTTCAAAGGGAGAAAAAATTAAGCATTTGTGTGGAAGGGACTAGGAGGGTACATTTGACACATGCACACTGTGGGAGTCAATTTACTTTAACCAAGATTTTTCAGTATGCTTGTATTTTAAACACAGTTTCTGTATTTGTCTTTGTAGGTTTTAATTTTTTTTAAAAATTACTATTACCTGGGCAGTATCTGTGTTAGTCTTTTTATGTTGTTAATACTCAGCTTTGTTGCGGTTGGCCTACATTTCTTCTATTATGTTTTAGTAAATATTAAATACTTTTTTAGAAGGCTGAGTACATACACATTTGATTTGCTATTTGATACCTAATATGAGAATCAAGGGGAACAGACTGCTGACTGTAGCTTACATACTTCTTTCTCTCAGCAGGAGCTGA